GTGAGCCCTGGGGGAGATCACTTACGAAGTGCTTCTCCCGGAGCACTGCTCCGCTCACCATCAGCACTCAGTAAAGAGTTGTTACTATTATTCTCGGCCTTGACATTCATCCACACAACAGTCCTGTGAACTCCATGAATTAGGAGCACCTGAAAGACAAGATCAGTTTCTTATTTTTCTGCAGCCCCAGCACCCGCTGTCAGAACACACACTCGCTGTTGGCTGGAGATGAAAAGATAGCTGGTGTCATCCTTACTTCATAGATCATAACAGCCAGGCTCCGAGGAGGAAGACAAACCTAGCCTGTCTGCCTCCAGCTCCTCTCTTCACTGAGCCAGGGCCAGCCTCCAGTGCCTCATTTACAGAAATGACAGATAAGGTCATTGTGGGCATTTGTCTGAGGGGTGAGGAAGGCTAAGTGTGTCCACATTATGGAACAGACCCAGACAGGTGCCCTCTGGTATCCTGGCATCATGTAGAGACGCCCTGAGTTACCAGCCCTAATCTCTAGAATTTCTGGGCTGTTGGTTCATTCGTTCATTCATTCATTCATTCATTCATTCATCAAGGATTGACTGCAAACCTTGGAGGAGGAAGCAAAACATAAAGAGACACAGGATCTTGCTCCTGGAAACTCAAGTCTATCAACAGATGTGGGCTTGTACGTAAATAATGCAGATACAAAGCGATGCAGGTTTCAAAGGAGATTTGCCCAAGGTCCCCATGTGAGATGAGAGAGCAGGAGGTCTTCACTACTTTGGAGGCAAGAAGGGGGATCAGAGAGGACTTCCTCCAGAAGGAAAGGCTGGATCTGGGAGAACATCCCCCGGGTGAACAAGGAGGGAAAGGGCATCCCTGGCAGAGAGAATACAAGACCAGGAGGCACCACTGGACAGGAAGCACAAAGACCACAAGTGACTATAAATGGCAGGATCCAGGGAGAGAGCTCAGAGCAAGGAGTATAGAGAAGGCAGCAGGAGCAGACTGCACAAGCCTCATGGGCAGTTTGCTTCACCCGAGGACAATCACAGACCCTCGAAGAATCTGAGGTAGGGCCATGATATAATAGGATTTGTGTTTTAGGAACAGAGTGCATATTTCTGACCCACACATGAGCCCATTCAAACGAGGCATCTCTATTTTCTTTTTCTTCCTGTCAGTAACGTCTGTCCCCTTTTTGTATTCCAGAACTGAGCACAAGCTGGGCTCTCCTCCTGCTTTTCTGACTATGCCTTCCCTGCTTTCTGAGTAAGACTTTCTCTCTCACCCCCCCCTCAGACTTTCTAAACATGAATGTCTCCCAAGTTTCTGCCAAGAGCCAACTGCCTACGTTTTCTCTCCACTCTATCCTCTGGGGATCTCATCCACATCTGACGCTCCAAGATGGAAGTGCCCTGAGGGTGAGCCCTGAACCCAAATCTCCAACACAATCTTATAAATGATGGGAAGGTCTCCACAATTCTGCTAAATTACCTGAATGTTATTGGCAAACATTATTTATAAAGCTGTTCTAGAAGAGCAGATTTCTAGTCCTAAAAGAAGACAGTTTAGCTGAGTCCAGTTGTATGTTGAGATTGCCCCAAGTGTATCAAAGTACCAACTAAAGAAGTAAAAAGTAGCATCTATACATATTATTTTGCATATCAAATAGATTCTTAGCTCTCTTGGGACACTTAGGTAGCTCAGTTGGTTAGGTGTCCTACTTTGGCTCAGGTCATGATCTCACCGTTTGTAGGTTTGAGCCCCGCATTGGGCTCTGTCCTGACAGTTTGGAGCCTAGAGCCTGCCTCAGATTCTGTCTCTCTCTCTCTCTGCCCCTCCCATGTTCATACTCTGAGTCTCTCTGTCTCAATAATAAATAAACACAAAAAAATTTTAAATAGAATCTTGGCCCTCTTAGAAGGTGTTTACTGGGAGCCTATTCAATATCCAGACCTGTGTTGGGCAATGCAGAAAATACAAGGCCAGCCTTCAGCCCTGTTCTTTCTTCAAAGTGCTTCCATTTCAGTGGGCACAGGATGGGGGACAATGGGACATCATGACCAAGAATACATGCTTTGTGCTTTCATCCTTGCCCCTTACAAGCATGATCTTGGGGAGGGAATTTCACATCTCTCAGTCTCAGAGTCTCCATCTGTAAAATGGGAACCAATAAGACATCCCTTATTGACTTGCTCCAAGGATCCAATTCAATTAAACTGCAAAGTACAGTGTCTGGCGTGTTATCAATGAGCCATTGTAGGAAGGAGTTAGGTCATTCCTTAAAAAGTGAAACATGGAGTTACCATCAATGTATGACCTAGCAATTCCGCTCCTAGGTATGTACCCAAAAGAAATAGAAACACATGTGCACATACAAAGGCCTGGACAAGTTCATTGCCACATTATTCACAACAGCCAAAAGGTGACCAAACTGTCCATCAATGGCTGAACAGATGACAATTGTGGAATATCCATACTATGGAATATTATTCAGCCATAACATGGAAGGAAGTATTGATACATACTATAATGTGGATGAACCTTGAAAACCTTGGGCTACCTGCAAACAGCCAGACACAAATGGTCACACATTGTACGATTCCATTAATCTGAAATGTCTGGATAGAGACATAGAGACAGAACACAGATTGAAGGTTACCAGGGATGGGGGAGGGAAGAATGGGAAACAAATGCTTAATGGGTCCAGAGTTTCCTTTTTGGGTAATTAAACTGTTCTAGATAAAGATGGTGGCTGTACAATATTGCGAATGTGGTAAATCCCACTGGATTGCTCATTTTAAAATGGTTAATTTCATGTTCTATACATTTCACCTCATTTTTTTTTAAAAACTGAGGTTTCACCTTTTCCTAAGCCAATCATGATCATCCGGTTGGCTTGAAATTAGCCCAAAACCTCACAGTGCCCAGGGTGCTTGGGTGGCTCAGTCAGTTAAACATCCAACTTTAACTCAGGTCATGATCTCATGGTTTGTGGGTTTGAGTCCCACACTGGGCTCTGTGCTGACAGTGTGGAGCTTACTTCAGGTTCTCGGTCTCCCTCTCTCTGCTTCTCTCTCTCTCTCTCAAAAAATAAAAGTAAATAAAAAATAAACAAACAAACAAAAGAAAAAAACTGCCATGCAGGCAGGAGCCCTCAGCACCTGTGTGGCCCTCGGGCCCAGGAGAAAAACAGGAGGCTGCCCCTGCCCCAGGGAGCTCATGGATAGTCACGAATGCCCCTGAGCTCTGGAGTCCGGTTCTCTGGGTGTGCATCTTACACCTACTGCAGTCTCTGTGCAAAACATTCAAAATCTCTGGCCTTCAGTTTCCTTACTGGTGAAATGGAAGGAACAGGGGCCCCTGGGTGGCTCAGTCGGTTAAGTGTCCGACTTCAGCTCAGGTCATGTTCTCATGGTTCATGGGTTCAAGTCCTGCATCGGGTTCTGTGCTGATGGCTCAGAGCCTGGAGCCTGTTTCAGATTCTGTGTCTCCCTCTCTCTCTCTGCCCCTCACCCGCTCATGCTCTGTCTCTCTCTGCCTCAAAAATAAATAAAAACTATAAAAAGTTTTTTAAAAAAAGAAATGGAAGGAAAAATGGTGCCAACAGCAGAGATGTGAAAATTAGGGGGATGGATCCTTTTCCTGGGCCTACCCCAACAAATTAACACAAACCGGGGGGCTCAGGACAACAAACTTTATTCCCTCAAAGTCTAGAGACCAGAAGTGTGAGACCAAGGTATCGACAGGGCCAGGCTCCCTCCAGAAACTGCAGGGAGAAGCTGTTCTTGCCGCTCCAGCCTCTGCTGGCTCCAGACACACCTTGTCTTCTGACTGCATCCCGGCCTCCACCTGCACGTGACCTTCTCCTCTTCCCAATCTCTATAGGAACACTTGTCACAGGATTTAGAGCCCAGCTGGATGATTCAGGGTGATTTCCTCTTGACATCCTTACTTTAATTGTATCTGCAAAGCCCCTTTTGTCCAAATAAGGTCACGGTCACAGGTTCTGGGGATAACAACATAAACACATCTCCTGGGGGGGCCACCATTCAACCCACTATGGAGAGAATCCAGATGAAGGGCTTCTGTACCACTTTGTAAATGTCAGAGACTTCATCATCGTCCCCATCATTGTCACAGTTATTAGCTAAGCTGTGTCTCAGTCTCTCTCGGGAATAGTTGAAATCTTCAACTCATTGGGGCTCCTTCCTTCCAGGCCACAGACATGCCACCACCTTCATTAGGAGGCTTGATTTCCCCTTCCCCATTCTGAGTGAATTCTCACAGGGCTTTTTACAGCTCTTCTTCCTCATCACCAACCATCTAAAGTCTCCCATATCTGGGTCCCGCCCACTACTCTGATATTAGACCATAGTCCACACTGGCTGCATACAGTTATGGGGCAGCCCCAGTTACCTCTGCCCCATGCCTCCCATTCAAGCTCCTGCTTTCCTCCCAGTTGCTGCCTCCAATCCTTAACTTGGGAGTTTATAAAAATCTAAGGCTCAGGCTGTATCCCCAAACCAACTGAGTAGGAATTTCCTGGGAGTGGAAGACAGTCATTCAAGAATGGCAATGTCCCATACCCAAGCCCTTGGAATTCCCAAGATATCCATGGGGCTCAGCCCACTGTGCAGACATTAAAAGAAAAACTTTGCACTTACTGGGTAGTCCTGGACCAGAAAGAGATATAATGACAACAGCTTGGGTTCTGGTGGCAGGTTTGGGATCAAATCTTGCTACTGACTAAGCTGTATGGCCTTGGCCATGTCCCTTAACCTCTGAAGCTCTGGTTTCTTGTGTTGAAAATGGAGACAGTAATGTTTACCTGAGAACTAGTTTATGTAGTGAAGGATATTCACATCTAGCAGTGTCTGGACCATAAAAGGAACAATCAAAAGCCCTTCTTCTTCTCTTCCTCCTGGAATTTGCAAAAAGTTTGAATCCAAATTCAGACGCCAAAACCGTACCTTCTATAAGTGGCCATGTGGCCCCAGGAAGGAACTGATTGTTTAGGCTAGATTCCTTAATGTTTTATTACATGAGGGGCAATTCCAGAAACCCACTCCAGGATTACTAACATAGAGGAGAGCAGAGCTGATTGGTTCACGGCTTCCAGACACGTAGTGGTCATCTGCCTGGTTTAACACAGGGAGCACACAGAGATCTGGCCCTCTGACAGGTGACCAGAGCTGGTAGCTGTAGACATTCTGTTGAGCAACTTGGCCGAATTCTCCATCTTCCTGCCAAAGCAAAGAACCCAGAGGCGCTGGTTCCAAGACGCTTGAACTTCCGGGGGAGCCCCCGAGTCCCTACTCCTGACCACCCCATGTTTTCTTGGTCATCCCTACAAGTGAGGGGCAAACTCCTCTGAGAAACCAGAAACCAGAACTCACCAGGCTGGGAAGCGAAGAATCAAAACCCTCTGCATTTTGCCTTCCCAATGAGCGCTCCTAGAATCTTGCTACCCCAATAAAAACTCAAACCAAAAGCCCCTTCCTTGCACTTGTCATCTTTTCATCCTTCTCATACCTGCTGCAGTTCTTCTCCTATGATATAGCAAAGCTGGAGGTAGCTCTGCGATCTTTTCCCATCTTTTCCCCCCATCTCTTTTCCCCAGGGCCCAGTTGAACATCTGACACAGTTAGCCATTGATTTATTCAGTAAATACTTATGGAGCTACGTGCCAGGCCTTGTGCATGCTTCGAGAATGGCACACAGAAGACAATCCACCAAGTAATTGTTGAACTGACTTAAGCTTGGGGCGCCTGGGTGGCTTAGGCGGTTAAGCGTCCGACTTTCGCTTGGGTCATGATCTCGCGGATCGTGGGTTCGAGCCCCGCGTCGGGCTCTGTGCTGACTGCCAGATCAGAGCCTGGAGCCTGTTTCAGTCTGTGACTCCCTCTCTCTCTGACCCTCCCCTGCTCACGCTGTCTCTCTTTCTCCTAAAAATAAATAAAACATTTAAAAAAAAATTAAAAAAGAAATGACTTAAGCTTATTTAGAAGCCACTCATACCAGCCAACTGGTTCGCAGATACTATGCTGGCACAATTCCTATGGGACATATCATTCTCATATGTCCTGAGCAAAATGTGTAATTCCATGGGGAGACCAACATCAGTACCTTAAATCTTCACCATGAAAGGAATCTTGGCGGGGGGGGCACCTGGGTGGCTCAGTCAATTAAGTGTCTGACTTCGGCTCAGGTCATGATCTCATGGTTCGTGGGTTCGAGCCCCGTGTCAGGCTCTGTGCTGAATGCTTTCTCAGAGCCTGGAGCCTGTTTCAGATTGTGTGTCTCCTTCTCTCTGTCCCTCCCCACTAGTGCTCTGTCTCTCTTTCTCTCTCTCAAAATAAATAAATGTAAAACTTTTTTTAAAAAAGAACTCTTAGGGTTCATATAAAACACTGGATCCCAACTCTGGATCCCCAGGTGATTCCAGTGTACCAGCAGAGTTGAAACCACTCAGCTAGTCCAACCTTTCACCCAAAAAAATACATGTCCCTGCTATGGCTCCCCATTGCCTTTTGTATAAAATATCCAACTGTTTTGTCATGACCTACAGTGCCTGGCACGATCTGGCAGCTGCCCGACCAAACCTCACTGGTCACAGTGCCCAGACACACAGACCTCTCTCCGTTCCTGAGAGCACCGAGCAGGGCCTTGGTCTTTGCTGGTCCTTTTGGTCATGTAGGACTTACACAAGGCTTATCCCATCAGAAACAGCTTTTCTGAGTGTGCAATGGTAAATACAACACACTCCATGCACACATGCACACAAAAACACACGTGTGCACATATACACCCACAGTTGTTCTTGTACATCTCCTTTGGTTGTGCTGACACCCATCGCCAGCTACAGCAATCTTTGTACCAGTTTCTTCACGTCTTTCCTGATTGTCTCCACCCCTAGGAAGGAAAGTTCATGAAAGCAGGGACCTTGTGTATCTTGTTCACCACAGGATCCAGCTGCCTCATGCATAGAAGATGCTTAGTAAGTACTAAACTAATGAATCAATCAACAGATCAGTCATTGAACTAAAGCCCCTACCTGCATGCCTCTAGTGACAGAAGGAAGCATCTTTCTCCCTCCCAAGGTGATCTCATGCCACTGTTGGCCAGGTGAGACTGTTAGAAAATTGTTGCCAGGGCACTTGGGTGGCTCCATCGGTTAAACGTCTGACTTGGTTTCTGCTCAGGTCACGATCTCGCAGTTGGTAGGTTCAAGCCCCTCATCAGGCTTCATGCTGACAATGCAGAGCCTGCCTGGGATTCTCTCTTTCCCTCTCTCTCTCTCTCTCTCTCTCTCTGCACTCTTCCCCTGCTCTGTCTCTCAAAATAAATAAATAAACTTAAAAAAATTGTTTAGAAAACTGTTTCCAATACCAGGCTGGTACCCGCAGCTTTCTCTCCTCCTGCCCCTGACTTTACTGTCACTCCCTGCAGCCACCCCATCGAGGCCAGTCCTCCTGCCCCATGATAGGCCTCCAAATATTTGGAGACTGTCAAGTTTCCTCGCGGCCTTCTATCATCCGGATGAATAGCTTCCGGGAGATGTCGTCAAGAAACACGGCCGTGTTGGCCTTTGATGACTGTGTCCATAAAACAATTCATCTTCCTGAATCTGCAAACGGCCTGTGTTTTTATTTTCCAGGACAGCTGCCTACACGCTGCCAGGGCGGGGCCTGCATTTGCGTTTTCCCCATCTCTGAGCTGTCACTGCTAAGGTCCAAGTGTCCTCTTTAGAGGACCCTGAGAAATGTGCTCCCGGCCATTATCAATTTCCATGAGAGATTCTTAGAAGCTTCTTAAAGACAAAAATTTTTTTAAAGAGCTATGTGGGAAGAAGTCCCTCTAGGAGCCCACTGCTGTGTGGGTGTAAAGAAGGGAGCATAGAATTCGTCTTCCTTCAGATTCTACTTTTATCTCCTCCACCAGGCTTCCCCCATCACCCTTTCTGAAATAGCACATACACCCCCTCTCTACCCTCTAGCAGCCAGCACCTTCTACCCGGTTCCAAAGTTGTGTTTTCTTTAAAGCACACTGTCCTATTTATCTACTTAGTCCCTTGTTTATTGTTCCCTCAACTTGAATGGAAGCTGTGTGGAGACAGGGACCCCACCTGCCTTATGAAACATGGTATCACCAGGAATAAAATGACACCCGGTGCCCTGACAGTGCTTGATAGCCAAAGAGAGAAGAATCAAGGGATGCCTGAAAGGTTGTGAGATATTAGACAAATCAGATCTCAGTTTCCTCTTCTGTAGAATGGGGAGAGGAGATGGTAATCCCCTCCTTACCTGACAAGGGGAAGGAGCAACTCAGACAATGCCTGTGGAAGTACGTCACCAGCTGTAACTCCATCAAATGTTCAGGGTTATGGTGTCATACACACACACACGCGTGCGCACACACACACACACGCACACACACACAGGGTTGCATTTGTAAGCAGAAAAAGTCAGTAGCTGCCCCTTGAGTGTGACTTAAAGGGCCTGATTGCTCTCAAAGAGTCTCCCTTATTGTTTTACTGTCTGAAAATTCCACCATTAGACATTCCTTTCAGTAAAGGCATCGTGTTTCCACTAACAGAGAAATGCTTCCCTCGATCTGAAGATGGGAGGGTAGAGATAAGGGAGGGGAAGATAGCTTTCTTTCTCTTTACCGCAGCCATTTTCCTTTCAGCCAGGGAGTCTTGCTAATTTTTACAACACTTCAGATGCATGAGCCTGGATTACTTTCCCTGCCAACTATTTTTAAAATGGAAGGATAAACTCCACTATCATCAGCCTATCTTTCCAGCTTGGCTTAGGACTTCGGAGGCATTTTCCATCTGGACCTCAGTTCTGTCGCAACGCACATTCCATAGGAGGAGAACCTCACCGTCAAGTGTTTCCTGTCTTGCCAAAAAAAAAAAAAAAGAAGAAGAAAAGAAAAAGAAATGGGCTCCGAAGATGAGACTCCAGGCAAAGCTTTGGCCCAGATGGGTGCAACAGGATTATCACTGTCTGGAAGTAGTGGCAGGGGATCCCCTGTACCTTCAGGAGTGGCAGGAAGAAGTAAACTTGGGAGAAGACTTGACCAACTCCCCATGGTGATGCCTACACTCCAGCTAACCCAACTGTCGGCCCTTCCCTATGCCCTCTTTCCTGTTCCCGCATTCCAACCTTGGTGCTGGCTGTCCCTCAAAACCCAGTCACTTATTTAACAAGCAAGGGCTTAGCTCCTGCTCTGACCTGGAGTCATATGTGATCTCTGTCCCGCAAGACTTCAGAACCAAGTGAGGGCACCAGAAGAAAATGGCAAGCAGGATGCACGGAGACAATCCCAGGATGCTGGGGTGCTCGGAGGAGGAACATCGAAGGGGGTCATTTAATAAGGTCTCAGAAGGTTTGGGAATACTTGTGAGAGTAGGGGGTAAGCTGAAGCTTAAAGAGTAAGTGTGAGCTAGCCCTGGAAGGAAGGGAAGAAGAGTACCACAATTTCCGGGAACAGAATATGCAAAATGAGAGAAGGGCATCTTCAGGGAAGTGAGGGAGGTTGGTTTGGCCCAAGAGAAGAGCATGCAAGGCAATAGCCAAGAAGGGCCTGGAACAGCAAGTGGGTTCAGATGACAACAGCCCCACAGGGTGTGCTGAGGGGGATGGACTCATCTCTAGAATGTCATATCCCATAAGCCACTGACGGAGTTTTAAATGATCAGGGTTGCCTTCAGATCAATTACTACAGCTGCACTTTGGAAAATGGATCCCGGGGAAGGAGGCTTGATGGAAGAGTGGGGAACAAATAAGAAGCTCTGGCAAAACCCACCCAAATGGTGGTGACATCATAAATGAGGCAGTGGCAGTTCAGGGAATGGGAAGAAACTTAGTTCAGGGCATGTCAAGTCCCTTTGGTCGTCCTACGGACCTGGGTCTTTATCTTGGCAGTGCTCTGCCTACTCGTGTGGACCTGGGAAGACAACAGGCTTTCAACACAGTCACTTTATCTGGAAAAGAAGATAATAATACCCAGCTTGCCAGGTTGGGAGGATTTGAACTACAAATGCCCAATGTCAAGTGCAGTGAAGAGTCAGGCACACAGTAGGTCTCCAACAGAGAACAGCTTTTCTGTTTATCTCCAACATTAAAGAAGAGAGATCCAAGATTCCAGATCTGCCAGTCTTCTGCATTTAGCAACACCAAGTCTCGTAGTTATGGGCTACCCAATGTTGTATGAAACTTGAAACATCCTATTTCCTCCTCAACAGGTGTGAACAACTTATAAAGCATGTCATCGTCTTAAGGGAAAAAAGCAACAGCAACATGAACAACCATCAACCTACAGGTATTTAGTGGCTGCCTTCCGCACGCGTAGCCCTGCACTTGAAAGTGCAGAGACCCAAAGAAGAACCCAGCAAAGTGCTAGATATAATATCTGCCTCAAGATATTTACAGCTGGTTGGGGAAATGGATTAGAAACCCATGAGATTCTTTAAGAACAATATCTCTTTTCATTTCTTATCTTAGAAGAACTCTTAACAGCTTTTGTCCCTAGTGACCTTGCCTTCCTTCCTGAAACTCACTTTACCCTGATATTCCAGGGCACCACTGTACACTAAGGAGCTGTTTTTCCAGTCTCTCTTCGTGGTTCTTCTTCCATCTGCCATTCACTGTCGGTGCTCCCCAGGGTTCTCTGCTCCTTTTGTCTTCTCACTGCACACAGCTCCTGATTCACACCTCCAAGTCATGGTTTCATGGACCTCCGTGCTGAGATGATAGCTGAGCTACCACCACCCCAATTCCAGGCACAACCCCTAGGTTTCCCATGCACATGCCAGGCCTAAGATCCTCAAGGCTGAACCCATTGTTTTTTTCCCTCAAACTTCTTCTTCCTGCAGGCCAACCCCAAGTTCATGATTTTACTATCTACTTAGCCGTCCAAGTTCTGTTATCCAAGTGATAGCTCGCTCCATGGTTAAAATCGCAAGTGCTAGAACTGGGCCATCTGGGTTCAGGTCCTAGCTCTCCTCCTGATTTGCTCTGTGATATGTAAATTACTAAACATCTCTATGCCTCAATTTCCTCACCTATGAAATGGGTACTTTAGGGTACCTATCATATAGAGGTGTTAGGTGGAGGAGATGAGTGACTATTTATATAAAGTGTGTCACACACATCACGTATGGCACATTGCATGTGATCTATAAAGGTTGGCATTTATTACTATTATCTCAGATTCTTTTTCCTTCATCAAACCTCTACAAATGATTTGCCCTCAATTGCAGCAAATTCCTGTTGCTTAGATGCTCACTTATCCATTCCAGCTGCTACTGTCTGTGTGTGGGCCTTCATTATCTGTGGCAGGAGGTCCCCAATCTCACACCTGCCCATGGAAGAGCCCCAGGGTGGAGGCGCAGAAATCACCTGGGTGGTGCTCCTGAAACGAATGCCAAGACCTTCTAACTCTCAGATTCTGTGGTTCTAGAACCCCAGTGTCCAACCCAGGTCAGCATGAGTCCATGTAAGTTCAGAAAAGGTTTCCCCCCCATACCCACTCACCTCTAAAATGTCCCCTATCGGGATTCTTCCTACTCTGCTTTCCTGCTTTCAGCCCTCCCTTATTCCCTGGTCCCTTTCAGTCTTCAGACAGGTGGGAAAAGAAAGCAACCTGGCCTTTGACTCCCACTTGCTCTCCCCTAGGATCCCTCCTAGTGGATTGATAAGGGCAAGAACATTCAAGCCACAGATAAGACCTCAGCTCCTGGCTCCTGCCCCTCCACTCCCTCTAGCTCCACTTTGAAGTTCCCAAAACCCTGCCTCTGTGGGCTGATTGTGTTATCTTCACAGCCAAGGTGAGAGCGCAGAGAATGACTTTATGGTTTCCCGTAAGCAGCTCTCCCCAAAGTCATGATTTCTTATAAGAAGAACAAAAGGAAGTGAGGAGTTGGGATGGAAGGAAGCCCAACAGTTTTACAGCCCTTAGAATGCCATTCCTCATGAAGTGAAGGCCCCGTGCGGGTTTAGAGAAGGGAAGGGAGATATGCTTAGCAGGTATTTGATTCACATTTTGAGCAGAGGTTCTAAACACAGGGTGATCTTGCTGTCCAGGGAGCATGTGGCAAAGTAGGACCTATTTCTGATTGTTACAACCTAGAGGCATGGGCGCTCGCAGCATCTGATGGGCGGCCCCAAAAGAATCCTAAACATCCTGCAAAGCACACCACAGCTGCCCACGATAAAGAGTTATTGGGCCCCAAATGCCAATCGTGCTGAGGTTCAGAAAATGGTTTAGAGAATGGAAGGAACAGAGGAGGGAAAGAGAAAGATCCTTCCGCTAACATGAAGGGCAAGGTACCACAGCAGTTGTTTGCTGCTTTTTAATCTTCCAGTATCTATACTACTAAGAGGTCTCATATCCCACTCTGATTTGCGTGGGGCGTGGGGGACGAAAAGGTAAGTGGGGTACATTCCAGATACACACACAAAAGAATACACATGTTCCTGATTCTCAGAGACGTTATTCCACCGTGGCTCTGTCTTTGGTGACCTACCACATTCGGGCAAGTGGCCTCAGCTGGCTTTTCCGCACAAGGAAGGAGAGGGATCCAGGGTTCCCGAGTTCCAGGGCAGAGTGGGTGCTCCTGGAAGCAAGAAGGGGGGGAACCTCAAAAGGGGTCAGCCAGGTGGGCTGGAGAGCATACTCAAGGAACAGAGGTACAGGAGCCAGACCCAGGCTGACCCACCTGACAGCTACCGTAATTACAGACAGCCCCCCCACCCCCCTAGGATGGGAAAGCTGGGAGAGAGCACCAAGACCATCTCCTTCAGTGATCAGCCATATTTCCAGGTAAGAGCCTTTTCAACATGATTTCCTCATAATTTTACTTGTATCTCTATTGTCAATTTACTAGTACATCATAGCAAACAGGTTTTTTTCCAAATCCTGCCAAATATAAAAGAATGTGTGTTTTTGTCATCACAGTGTCCATGTGTTCTTTTTTCTTTCTTTTAATAGACCACTTTTTACAAGAGTTTAAGGTTCACAGCAAAACTGGGAGGGAGATACAGAGATTTCACAGATACTGCCAGCACCGCCCCCCCCCCCCACATATGCACAGACTCCTCCATGATCCATGTCCCCACCAGAGTGGGACCTCTGTTACAGTTGATGAACCTACATGGGCACATCATACTCACCCAGACTCCATAGTTTAAGGAAGGATTCGCCCCTGGTGTTGTACATTCTCTGGATTCAGACAAATGTGTCTGTACCATTATAGTATGATGTAGAGTAGTGTCATTGCCCGAAAAGTTCTCTGTGTTCCATCTATTCATCCCTTCCTCTCCCCAGCCCCTGGTAACCCCCGATCATTTACTGTCTCCATACTTTTGCTTATTCAAGAATGACATATAGTTGGAATCATATAGCAGGTAGCCTTTTCAGATTGGCATCTTTCACTTAGTAATATGCACTTAAGCTGCCTCCATGTCTCTTCTTGGCTTGATAGTGCATTTATTTTTAGCACTGGGTAACATTCCCTTCTATTACCTATAATATTAATGTCTATAATATTCTATTCACCTACTTACTGAAGCACATCTTGCTTGCTTCCCGTTTGGGCAATCATGAATAAAGCTTCTATAAATATCCATGTGCAGTTTCGTGTGGACATAAGTTTTCATCCATGTGCTTTTGAGAAATGGCCATATATGTATGAGGCACCTTGAACTGTGGTCTCTGGGTAATGCCCGGAGGAGAAAATGATGGCTGAGTTTCCTGGAGAGACCCCGTGGCTCCCCTATAAATAGTAGCTAAAAAGGAATCATACTTCAGATCATCCAAACTAGGCTTCATCTAGATGGCCATAGTTCTTTCCTAGGAGACTCCAAAGGATAGCCCTGGGCTCTTGCCTACTGGCTGACTCTACCTGCCCCCTCCCCTTCTCTCTGATACCCTTGTCTAAAATCTCTCCTTAGACGAGGGGCATGCCTCAGCCAGTCAGAACAACCCAGCAGTATGGTTAACTACAGAGTACAGTTAAAGAGTCACATTCCTCCTCTGACAGATAAGTTCCTAGAAGGATCTTGCCAGCTCTGAGGCAGGGAAGCACAATGACGAAGGCCCTGAAGTCAGATTCCATTCTTCATTTAACAAGTGTTTTGGGGGGCACCTGGGTGGCTCAGTCAGCTAAGCATCTGACTTTGGCCCAGGTAATAATCTCACAGTTTGTGAGTTCAAGCCCCATGTCTGGCTCTGTGATGACAGCTCAGAGCCTGGAGCCTGCCTTGGATTCTGTGTCTCCCCCTCTCTCTGCCCCTCCCCAGCTGATGCTCTGTCTCTCTCTGTCTCTCAATAATAAATAAATGTTAAAAAAAAAACAACACACACACACAAGTATTTTGGAAGATCTATCTATGTCAAACACCATTCTAAGAACCAGCCATGGTGGAGAGCAGGGTAGCTCACAACACCTGAGTTTCTGGCTCGGCCACTTACCAGCTGAGTGACCTTAAACTATGGTTCAATATCTCTACGTCTCAGCTTCTTCATTCGTGAAATCGGATTTTTGTTAAGTGTGTGCCCACATGGGAAATGAGATAACATCTGGACATTTCTTGGCCAATGCTGGCAAATCATGAGCACATGATATAAGTTAGCGACTAATTTCAAGAGACAAAAGGAACTGGGACATTCCAGGTGGAGACTTATGTTAAAACTCTGAGTCAAGTGGATTGCAGGGCCTCCCCCATTAAATGACACCAAGAGTAAAAGCAGGTGCTTTTTTTTAATGTGAGTGCTTGTGCACTGGCACAGACCTCCCTTCTCCTAACCTCTGTGCAATGGCTTTGAAGAGAAAATACATCCTTTTGCCCAGGAGCTGACCTACCCTTTCCTTTGCTTCTTGAGTAGCCATTAATGGCGAGTGTGGCTCCCATCCCTCAGAATCCCACTTATCGCTGGGATGGTTATAGTGGTCAAACACCTGAGCCTCTGCAACTGCATCAC